TAGCAGAAAGTGATAAAGAGAGGGGAGGGGGAAATTAAACAGAAGACGACAAAAAAAAAAATACAAAGAAAGAACATACTCAAAAGATGTCATAATACTGCAGAAGGATTCATCACTTGAAAACACTCAAAGACTTTTGCTGTTGCGTTTTGCAGAATTCTCCAGCAGTTACAGGGACAAGTGGCTTCCACAAATAAAAGAGGATCTACCACGAGAAGGCAGTGAAGTACAGCAAACTCCAAACACCGAGAGGTAGAGCTCAGCTGATCTAAAGTGTAGCAGCACCACTGGCTTCAATGAACCTGGACAATTCACACCCACTAAAGAGCCCTCAAAATGTGCAGACGGGAGTTAAAAATACCTGGTATTTCAGCTGACAAACAGGCAACCCAACAAGAACACCTAAACAATTTGACAAAACACAAACCAGGTGAAAAAAAATACTGAATATCCACTGCCAATAAATTACAGTAACAGGCTAGCTTTTATGTTACTATATATAGGGCGAAATTATTCCTTCAAAATTATCAATAACTACCACAAGCAGAAATATATTTTTCCTAATCAGGAAGTTTAGACAACAAAGCAATGAACAAATTAAACTTCAGCTGCTAAACTGTTAAAATTTCCCACTAATTCCAACTGAAGATATGACTGCTAATGATTCACACCTAACAGTCATCAACTTTCACTTGAGGCACTCATTACTAACAGGTATTCAAAGCAATACAAGTTTCTTCACATAACAGGTTTGCTTCTTCTACAAACTGGCAGCTCTATACCCATAGAAATTTTCACAAATTTTAAAAGGTATTTCTGAGTGCCAAGTGATGCAGGGGCATCACTTCTATCTGCCCTGCTGCAACCACTTGCCATGTAGGCTCATGGGCAGGCTCTGCACCACCCACAGGGTGCAGGGGGTCAGCAGCTGCACAAACAGGTACAGACGTGCAGGAAAAGCTGCACAGCACCTTTCTGTGGCAAGCTTGTTTCAAGTCCTTTGACATTAATAAACAATGGATTCAAATTAGTTCGTAATTTAAGCACTTGGTAATGACCAGTCTGTAAGTGCTGGTTGTTCAATGGTTCAGACCTGCACAGAGCTCCAGGGCAGCCTCAGTAACCTGATGCACGACCATGGACCCTTACACATTATGATTCACGTGTTCTCTCTGATTAATTAGATTAATTCAGATTTTTTTGTTGCCACAGAAACACGGAGCTTCAGTAACACCTATCTAACCACAGTCACATGAGTCAAATACAGGTTAACCTCTTGTAACTCTTTCTGCTTGTTCTTTTTTGGTTTGTGTAAGACTAGTAAGTGAAATTTAAATGACAATTCCTAGTCATGTCCTCTCTGACAGTTTAAATCAGCTTCCACACTAATACTATCTTTATTAGTGTGCTACTAATCAGGACAATGAAAGCTCCTTTCACCTCTCTACTCTTTTCTTTCAAATACATATATCTAACAGCACACTCAAACTGACCCATCGACCCACACTACCTAGCAGAACTGCATTCTCTCAGGCCACCTATTAAATGAAAAACTGCCATACTTCATCAAGTAAAAATGATTTTTCAGGTCCTGTCACGTTCTTTAATACTTCACAATTAAGATGCTACAACTTCATTTACAATTTTATTCCAAAAACGTTAACTGACAGATTTCTTACCTCATCATTGATGACCTCGGATTGTTCTTCTTCTTCTTCCTCCTCTAGATCCAAGTCATTTTGCCTCAGGTATGCTTGGAGTGGAACACAATGTTTCTTCTTGAAAGCTAAAAAGTCCATCATATTCCCTTGAAGATGTTGCAGGAAAAACAGTTCAATCAAACATTCCTTAAAAGTTTCCTTAAGAATTTCCATCTGCTTATGGTGATGATCCAAACACAGTTTCCTCATTTGAGCAGTCTCTTGGTTGGCAGGAGGAATCTCCTCCAACTTTTTGGGTTGTTTTTTCACTGCTGTATTAGCTGTTGGAGTAAGAGGAAGACTCGACAGCCCCTGTGGCACAGTGGCCCGTGAAGGACTTGTGGGAGGAGGAGGTGATGTCATCCCAAACGCACCAGGTCCTCCAACTCCCGCTATCAATCCACCAGAAGTCCTGTCAAATCCAATGGGTCTACCCAGCTGTTGCCCTTGAAGCACTTGCTGCTGCTGTTGCATAAGCTGCCCTTGGATAATATTGCTGATTTGGGGTGGCAAGCTGGTCGTCGTAATGTGGCCTGGGCTAGTCAAGGATTGCATGTTGGCCCCGCTGGCCACGGGGCTCTGAGGGCCCAGATGGTGGATGGTGCCCCCAGACTGCGAGTGGGGCTGCGACAGCCGGCGCTCCCTCACCGTCGCCGGCGCCCCGGAGGATGGAAGCTGTACTTGTGCAGCAGCTCCTTGAGCAATCTGTGCAATTCCCGGTCCTTCCTGGTACACGAAGTGTCCCCCGTTGGAAGGGCTCAAGCTGATTTGTCTCACGAGCACACTGGCGTCCACAAATCCCCTCGTAGGGCTCTGGCTGCACATTCCCAGGCCAGGGCCCGGAGTGCCGGCCCGGACGTTGGGCAGCGTCTGCACCGGCACGGGGTTGGGCTGGGTGGGGCTCTGGGACTGCACTTGCTGGGGCAGCGGGGAAGTAACCTGGATGTAGGATGGGGATCCATGCTCGAACCGCCTCTGCTGGGGGCTGAACTGGAAGCTCGGGGACGTGGGGTTGGGCAGTGGCAGCGGGGTCAGGGTTATCTGCTGGTTTCCCGAGGCCACGGGGCCCACGTTCTGCAGAGTGATGTTCACATTCTGCCCTGCCACCGGGCTCCGGCTCATGATGAACTGCTGGATTTGGTAGCTGGGGGACTGGGGGGCAGATGGACTTGCAGAGGGTGCAAAAGAAGCTGCAGGGGACTGGGGTAGATTTGCCTGTTGTTCTTCTCCCTCACTGCCTGTGAAGGACCTGGACCTCTGGAGCTGGCGCTGGGCATTCTGAGGACCATTACCATGGTGCATTCTCACTGATCTAGGGTTTTACAGTATACTCTAAAGAAATACACAAAAGCAGAAATTCAGGGAAGGTAAAATCACTTCTGTAGCTGAAACTATCTAGTTACCATTAGAAAGACTACCTTACAGCAAGAACTTCTCTTATCCTGGTTTGCCAGTTACTTAAAATGTTTCAAATTATACAAAACCCTCAGCACAACTAAAGCTCACTTAAATCCCTCATACATGTCTCTAGTTAACAAAGTGCTATTGAATAGTTATGATATAGAATATATTATAACTATAGCATCATCATAACTACGGAATATCATAACTAAAGACTGATATGTTCCCCTTAGCTAGTTAGAATGACTTCAAATAAATAAATAAAAAAACCAACAAAGAAAACTTTTTCCCTTTTCATGGAACTTCAAGAATCAAGTCTCCAATATAAATACATCTACTCTCTTTTTTTTTTGCTTATTATTCCCAATCTTTCAGTGCTTTTAACTCTTAATACAAAGTTCCTGTAAACATAATTGTTTGCAACATATAGTTCATTGCTTCAACGGTAACTAAAAATATAAAAATGGACCAACTATTCAACTCAAAAAATGCATCATGAATAAACTCCCTACCAAATCATTCGGATGCTTGAAAAAGTACTGTACTTGATGCTTAACTCTGCCTTCTCTTTCCCTCAGAACACTTAAGAGATTAGAATTAACCAAACCTGTAATTCTTTTAAAACGCTGTTTATTCAGTCAAGCTACCCAAAACCCAAAATAAAAAACGTTCTGGCTTTCTATTTCAATCACAGACAAACAAAAATCCCACAGACAAGCGCAGACAGGTAGATTCAGGCTGGGAGTCGCACAGCAGTGACTAGCAGAAAAAATGAAACCTGGTAATTTTTTTTTTTTTTAAATCAAAGTCTCTCGCGCATTTTGAAAGCAACAGTTTCGTTTTTGGTATTTCAGCACAAACACACACATAAACAAGCGTGCTGCCTCTGCGTTCCTAACTCCGAGTTGTTTGCAAGTGGCAACAGGCAGCAGCACCGCGGAACTACTGGGAAGCACTACTGGGAAGTGCGGGATGCAGCGGGAGCTGCCCGTCCTGCTTCCCCGCTGCCCAGGCACGGAACACATCACACCTCCGCTCCCCTGTGTCCTGGGCTGTCTGCACAATCTGCTCAAGCCCTGGGGATGGAGATACTCCCTTCCTTGCCGCGGGAAAGTGCCGGCTGCCCGGGAAGGTGCAGCAGGGCAGCGCTGTCACAGAGCTGACAGCAGTGACAGGAGGGGCCGAGAGCTCGGGACCTCCCGTGCCAGGGGCTCATCCCGGTGGGTTCCGCTCTCCTGCCCAGGGGCTCATCCCGGCGGCTCCCGGCTCTCCTGCCGCGGGGCTCATCGCGGTGGGTCCCGCTCTCCTGCCCAGGGGCTCATCCCGGTGGGTCCCGCTCTCCTGCCGCGGGGTTCATCCCGGTGGGTCCTGCTCTCCTGCCCAAGTGTTCATCCCGGTGGCTTCTCGCCTCTCCCGCTCCCCGGAGCTCAAATCCGAGCGAGCTCCGTCCGCAGAGCGGGAAGGAAAAAAAAAAATTCCACTCCTTACAGGCCCTTTTTCCACGAGATTTAACAACAGCGCAATTCTTGGCGGTGTTGTGGCTCTTTCGCAGCGCCGACACCAAATAATTAAGATTCAAACGATACCAACCTACCGCCAGCAACAAGCTCCCATTATTCTAATTACTCGCACCTCGCCAACACTCACGGCTCCAGCGAAAACATCTAATTAATTACAGGCCGATAAGGGGAGGTCCCGGAGCAGAGAATCGCCTTTTGTGTGCGCGGAGCGGGGCCGCCCGGGCCCCGGGCGAGCACCGGCCCCGCCGCCGCCGCCGCTCCCCCCGCCGCGCCCGGCCCTGCCCGCGCCCCCCCTCGCGGCCGCCCCCCGAGGCTCGGAGGGGGATCGGGGAGGCTGTGGGGACCCGTACCGGCCGCGCCGAGGCCCCGCGGGCCGCACTCACCGCACTCCCCGCGGGCCCCGGGCAGGACGCGCGGGCGGGGCCGCCGCCACCAGCGCCGCCACTACACGGAGCGGGCCCGCCGCGCCTGCGCACGGCCCCACGCACCGCCCGCGCATGCGCCGCCCGCTGCGCCTGCGCAGCAGGGAGGGTGTGTGAGGGCTCCTGTCGTCCCCCCCCGCGTATGTCGCGATAGGAACGAGAGTCGGCGGCAGGACGGACAAACTCGTGTTTATTGATAGCGGAGGGGAAGTACTTCTGTGCAGGCAGGGCTGTCCTTCAGGATTTGGTGTAAAAGTCCACAACACCTGCGAGCTCCAGAGAAGGGCGACGAGGCTGGTGAGGGGACTGGAGCACAAGTCCTGGGAGGAGAGGCTGGCCTGAGGGAGCTGGGGGGGCTCAGCCTGGAGAGGAGGAGGCTCGGGGAGGACCATGAGTCTGCTCCCATCCCAATGGTACCACTGAAAATAGGCTCCAAGTATTGGCTTCCATTTTCCTAACTGGAAAAAAAAAAAGAGAATCCCACCCAAGTTGTTACAAACACTCTTGACTGGTCATTAGGAGGCAGGCTTGGGTCCTGCACAAGTAGTCAAAGGGAAAAAGAGACAATCCAAATCTGACAAAACTTAAGGAATGCTGTGAATAGTCATTTAATGGTTAAGAAGAAACAGATCCTAGTCCTTGTAAGAAAAATCACAAGTATCTGCAAAGCACAGGGCTGTAAACTGGTTTTATATCACTTTATATATCATGAAGTGCATTTAGTCCAATATACTTTACAATCCTCAGGAGAACATTTGGTGACTTAAGTGCTTTGGTACATGAACAGATCTATCAACAAGCTCAAATTACCTCCCAGGAGCGTTTCAATATTTCAGTTTGCACAGAACTCTTCAATGTAAATAGATTGGAAATAAGGTACTTCATGAAAGCCACTTGGTTGTTGCACAGGAAATTCCAAATATTTCTGAAGGTTTCCATAAAACAAGAGAAGTCACCATACCTGACCCACCAAGCTAGCCAGCTGTTCTAACTGAGAAGGAACCATGGTGTTTCTTGAATCATACAGCTCTGAATCTGTGTCATTTCTTAGCTCAGACAGTGTCTCTTCTGTAAACTTTCTAGAATCCTCATTTCCACATTCAGAGCAAAGAACCTTATGGAAACATGTTTTCAAGTATTCAATAAGACAGTGTATGATGTCAAAAATTATTTCAACATCCTAAAATCGAGTTTAGAAAAGTCAGATTACAGATATATTTGACAGCTTTTGCTACAGCAGATGTTGTTTTTGATTGATTAAAACAATGTCAATAATAGAGTAAAATTGTCATTGGAACAACTTTTATTTCTAGATAGTTATCTTCCTATTTTCTATATGAGCTAAAAATTCAGGATCTCTACTGACTTTAACACATATCACTGGCTCCCAAACAAGTATAGAAATAAATATAGAACTACGCATTCAAAATTCTGATCTAGAAAAACACTTTTTTTAATGTATCATTAAGTAACTGCTCACATTCTTAATGTTATAGTACCTGAGATAAAAAGTCTGTTGAACAATCGTCTCCCCGAGCAGCCAGTTCTTGAATCAAATGTTTAATACCTTTTTTCAACAGCCTCTCTTCGACAGAATTACCACTTACAAGCCTGTAAAACAAAACAAAATGCTGTTGCCTATAAAACAGTGATCCTCTGTGAAACCCAACTGTTTCATGTCTCATGCTCCACAGTGACAGCAGTGAGCACCAACACTCATTTAGAGTCCATCAGGTGTTTTCATAGGAAGTTCTGTATTTGACTCTTAGTTTTTTAGAGGAAAGCTTTCTTTATACACCTGATTTCATATTTTCAGAACACCATGTTCTTTTAAGCTCTTGTTTTCAAAATGAGCAATAAACAGATTGTCTTCTATACATCTGGATTTAACAAAAAATACAAGAGCAGGGTATTTGCTGAGACTGTCTGCTCTGCACACCCACCTGGCCTGTGGTGAGGTGAGCAAGAGCTCCCCTGTGCTCTCAGCACAGCCTTCCAAGGAAAGAAACTGTCACTTGAGAGAAGCTTTCAAATACATCTTCCAACAACACAAACATCAGCATCTCATCGCCAGTGGATTTCAAATCCAGTGATAGATCAAGTAAGGCATTTCTTGTTTATCAGGAGCTGAAAACACCCATATTTGTTTTGACTGTCCCAACACAGAAGTCCAGATGGTTTGTAAGATGAAAGTGGGAGGGAAAGACAGGAACAGAAGAAACAGTAAGGAAGAGGACAGAATTTTCATTTTTCCCTCTAGTCTGAAGGGGAGATGTATGATATATCTTTAAAGGGATCTCAGAAGACCAAATGACTTGAACTAGTTTCACCCAAAATCATCTTCCCTCTATTTTCAATTTTAAAACACCAATACTATTTCTTAGCATAAGTCACCTGTATATGTGGATATCTCTGCCTCTTGCAATTTTAGCACACCATTCCTCAGCCTTTGTGTCCACCAGCAGATCCAAATCAGTGTCATAGAAGACAACAGTGCTCACATCCATGTGACTGACACCTGTGGAAGGAGTGTGGGAAGAAAGGATAGCACAGAAGATCCTCTTGTGTTGGTTGAAGTTTTTTATGGATTCCTAAAATGGGGAAAATAAGCAGCTTAATTAGGAATTCGCATTAATTAAGAATAAATCTCCGCACAAACTTTTTTAACAAAATGAGAAGATTGGAAAAATTGCTTTCTTATAACTTCCCCAACCTACATTAAGCATGCAAACGTTTTAAGGGATCTGACTGCCCACATTACAGATCCACACGATTCAAAATTAATTTGTCTACCATTAAAACTATTAATTTATGGTCCAGTCAGCCAGATAAAAATCTAAAGATCTATTACAGTAATCACATTATGTCCTCTGACTAAGCACACCTGACTGAGTTATTGTATCCTGTACGTGCTTCCTCATTTTTTTTGTCTGTTGACTAAATTGAATCCCTTCTTTTGTGCTGCCTTGCGTTGCTTTAGGGCAAAGTATTCTTTAATATAGCATCTGACAGAAAGCATAATGATACAATTTGAAATAGAAAATGATAATAATTTAACTATATTGTTAATGTTTGCTCAAACTGTAGGCCCCAGAGGATACAGAGAATCTTACTGGGGAGGGAAATGAGCATACTTTCAATTTATCCTCAGGCAATGCCAGGGCACTCTACAGAAAATAAAAGCCCCTGGAGTAAGGCTGAGGAAGTGCCAACATAAAAACAGCAACTACACTTCAAGTACTAACAATGCAAATAGCTACAGATAATGATAGCAAAAGCAGTTAATCAAAATGCTATTGTGAACTAAAACATCTGCATTTCAAGCACAAATTACTCATAAACATAGGACAACTAGTGCCATACTTCTTGGAAAAACTCTGGATGCCTCATCAAATAGTAATACGACTGATATATTTCATATATAATTACATATTTGTGCTCCAGCTACATACATAATTTGCTTCAATAAGCAAGGGAATTATGCAAATGAATTTTGCAAATGTATTAGGCTTCCCTTTAGCACTTTCCCTCCCACTATGAACATCTATTAACTATTAGCTCGAGTAAGAGATCCTCTTACCAGATAATGCCAGCTGTGAGCACCACTCTCACCAACTCGTACGTACGTGAGGAGATGGAGGTTCAGGAAAAGCTCCAGGATATCAAGCATTGGAATCACCTGTGTCCATATCAGCACACGCTCTCCTCTTGCTTTCAGCTTCCGAAGCAAGGCAGCCAGAGCTTCCATCTTGCCTGTTTATGAAACCAGAACCTGCAGGTCCCACTCAACCATTAGAGAAAGCCCAGGTAGAGCCAGGGGTAGGTTTTTAATACCTGAGTCCCACTGCACCAGTCGGGGATCTGGAAACTGCACAAAACGAGGCCTTGCTGTCTGCTGCACTGAGTGGGAGTAGGGAAGGAGCTGTTCCTTGAGATTAGACTTCAAGAGCTTCATTCCATGGGTATATGTGTGAGGAGGATGGGTCACATACAAACGTGGAGGAGCGACAGCTACAGCTGGCAACACGCAGAGATCTCTGTAAAACAACCCAAAACTTTATGATAGTAATTCTTAACTGCTTGGGCTATTAACAGCTCAAAAACAGTCATAAAGAAGATGTTTGCATAGAAACATAAAGCACCTGGCTAAGGGCAACTGAAAGTAAATCAGTGTGTGAAGTTTTATGTTAGCATCAAGTAAATGCTAAAAAACACTCAAGAGGAAATTACCACTATCCATAAGGTTATCAAGATAAGTTTACTACACCTCCTACTTTTTTGTCAGTATTAACAGAACAAATACAAGATAAGTCAAAGTAGAATTGCTACATAACTAATGACAATTGCCATGGAACTATTTAAGATCTTAAAATGATCTAAAATTACACATCTGGGATACAAATAGATTCAGCATAAAGGAATTTAGCCTGCAAAAAGAATAAAACAGGGCAGCTTATTTATCACTTTTGGCATTTTACAGTACTTCACATAACACCCTGTGTTGGAGGGTAGCATACACCCATCAAATCCGTGCACAGACTGCAGATGAATTTGTCTCAATTACCTCATAATAAGATCCTTCAGGGCTATCTGTTGCTGCTTCACTGTCAGAATGAGTTCCTGCAGTGGATCCTTCAGAACCTCTGCAGTACTGGGATAGGGAAGGCAATCTGCAAAGCCAGCCCAGCACCACTTGTTAATCCTGGCAGAAAAGTGCTGAGATTTTTCTTTCACTGATCCAAGAGCAAGTTTCCAACAGGTCTCTGCCATACAGGGGGGTTCTGGAGCAACGATGCTCATTCCAAGAATATATTTTGTCCAGGTGTTCCTTCAGTTGTCTTTTTTCTTCTAGGATACCCTTTAAATTCAAAATTCTTTTCTGAATCTATTTTGACCAGATAAAGCTTATACAAGAAAAAAAAAAAGAAATTTATGCAAAACGAAGTAGAAAATAAGGATAATTCAGATAATACAAAAGTTGTGTGAATAATACAAAAGTTGTGTGAAAGGAGAAGAGAGCAGGAGAAAAGCTGATAATTAGTATTTGTGATACAGGGACAGATGTTAGGTTTGGTATTGTAATGCAAAATAAATCTGCTTTCCTACTCTATGCCTACTGGCAAAAATGTAATGGGACTTTCAAGCAACTATTGGAGAGTCCACGAGTACAGATGGATCAGACTGGGAAATTACAATATTCTAAATGCTTTAAATATTAAAGCTTTGACTATTTCACACACATGAATCTTGTAAACTATATATTGTTCATGATCAAGTACATACTTATGATATAAAGAGTTAGCACACTACCTGAGTCGGACACGAAAGTGTAGATGCTGATTTAGGTTTAGTACTCAGGTCATCCACTGTCTCATTAATAAATTCATTTGTTTTTCCAGGAAAGCAGCAAGACAAGAAAAAAAAAATAATTTCACAGACACATGATATTACAACATGAAGATAATTATAGATTCTAGAATTTTGATTTCTAAATGGTTAAAAAGTTAAAAAAAAAAGATTTTAAAAAAAAGATAAATACATGAATTGAATCATGTAGCACCTTACCTTGATGCTTCAGAGACTGTCTGTCAATAAGTTGACAGAATTGACTGTAGGACACAGTAAACATTTTCCCTCTAAACTGTAATGTTACAGGCTTCTCTGCCTCAGCAATCCTCTCTTGTGCTCCAGCTGTGGAAGCCATGAGTAAAGTTTTGCTGGCTGTGAAGACAAAAGAGGTACAAAGGTAAAAAGAAGAATTTCCTCACTGTACACTGCAGGATTTCAGTGCTTATCCCATCCACACAGTGTGGGACACTGGATTGCTATTGAAAGGCAGCTTGACTCCAGACATAACTCTTACACTGCACTTAACTGCAAACAGACTGGATCTCCCTCTAATACTGCCAATTTTGGGGTGAAAACTAACCACAGAATAAGAGATCTTTTGCTGCACAATTCATTTTTAGCAATGAAAGACAACAAACACAACTGCCAGTGAAATTTCCAGTGTTTTCACAATAGTATTGTTCTGTTTATGAAGGACAAATAGACTATAAGGGATTTTATTTTGATTTTGTGAGGAAAGTCCTGTTAGAAACCTGCTAATGGAACTTGATACACAAACACATGGAGTACAACCTCATTTCTTCCCCATATTCAAACAATATTTAAAAAAAAAAAAGAGAGCAAACCAGAAAGCAATGGTTTATTTTACATACAACACACCTTTCCTATGCTGATTTGTTTGAGAACAGGGCAAGGGGTTGTAGTCTTTGTATTTTCTCATGATGATCTGCCATTGCTGCTGTGTCCACTGTCTGCTGCACCTGAGACCTTGAGAAGTCTTTAGTCCTACCCTCAGGTTTCTGTCCATACTGCACTGGTGTAAATAACCTAAAAATTAACAGATGATCTTTCTACACATTCAACAAAACATACACTAGGAAGCTGTTAATCCATTCATCCCAATACAAAAAATCAAGATCTAAGGCAAATACTTATTTTGAGTCAGTAATCTGAGCTTGAAGAGGCACCCAAATGGAGAGCATAGGGCAGGAGGGATTCTGCTTCCCTCAACATGGAGAAGAAACACAATATACTGTAAAATGCAAATGCTCTGAGGCTCCAGTCCTCACTGAAAGATTACGTGGAAGGGGCAGGACAGAGCTCCCATATCCTTTAATCATCTTTGGAGGCTGGACACAGCAAGAGAGCTCCCAAAAAGAGTCAAACTTCTTAATGGAGCAAAGCCTTAACTATGGATATGGGGTTAAAAACACTGCAGTTGTAAAAGCTGACTTCACAGTAACGGTTTAGTGTGTGCTGCTTCCAGGAAACCAAAGATGTCTAGATAGGAAAAGAACAAGTTCTTTATCTACTTCACATATATATTTCAGCTATTCCTTCCAATTCTTTAATTTCATTAACTGTCAATGCTCCCTTCTGGCAGAATGGCCTAATAAAACTAGTGCAGGACATCCTCATTGTCACCTGTCACAGCCACATGTCACACAAGCTGTCTTGGGCTTCACTAACCATACTCTGCTTTTATCAGGTTAATTTATTGTAAAATTTAAGGCTACATTGCTCTACAGCAAAATTACATTTGCTCCAAGACTCAGAAATGAGCCCTCCCAACTGCTCTTCACAGAGTCATCAGCAATAAACAAATAAGCTCAAAATTTAACAGAATGTCTTTTCCTCCCCCAGGAAAAAAAAATTAAAAATTCTTTAAGTGCTTTGCGAGTAGGTCTTAGATTTAAAATTAACTAGGAGAAGATTTAATTATTCTGTTTAGGAAACTCTACTGCAGAAGTCACTTCCACTGTTTGATCAAAACCACAAGAGACTTCAACTCTATTGAGTGTGTCAGAAAAGATCAAGACTGAGCCTTCACAAATGAAAAGAACTATTAAGTGGTAAATATCACTGTGCTTTCCCTCAGAAGGCTGGCACACAGTGATCAGTCTGTAAACAAAAGATACCAAGAGAAACAAATAATTCTGATTTAATCCCCTCAGCCCTCATAAATATTACTCATTTCCACCTGTTACTTAAAATAAATCAATCAACAAACAAATAAATAAATCACCAGAACACCACATACCTGTTTGGTTTGAGCTTCACTGGCTCAAGTCTGGGTGTTGAAGGGGAGCAATAGATCTCTTCAATAAGCTTTCTAGTTACCTTCAGTTTTGGCAGTATTTGTGCCTCATAGCAAGTAATTTGGTTTTCCATCCCAATCACATCGAAGAGAGACCGGTCTGCATGCTTAAGTTATTAAAAAAAAAGAAAAAAAAAAACACAAAGTGAAGAAACATTTTACTACCATTCAGTTGCAGTTAAAAAAAATAATGGTAATAATTCCCCATTATCTGAGAATGACTGAAAAGCTCACAGCTGATGGCAGAGCTAAAGTGAAACCTGGAAGAGCCAAGTGTCATGTGACTGTTCAGAGAGCAGCTGCCCTTACTTTAAAAGGTTTCAACAACCTACACCACGAAAATGGAGCATTATGCTCATGTTACCAGGAGTCAAAAACAGGGCAGAACCCTCAAATTACAATCCTTTGTAGAACTGGTGTTCCTGATCCCCCATTCCCACCCTGACACATTAACCCCATTTCCTTCACAAGCCTTTGATGCTCACCCTGTCCCCCCACCCCCAAATGATTTTTCCAACAGGCTTAAAGAAGAAACTATTTGAATTTCGCAGGACACACAGTGCTACTTTTTTTAGCTTTATCCAGTCTCTCTTAAGCCTCTAATATTGCTGAAATCACTAGCAAAAAAAAACAAACAGACAACAGTTAAAGCAAAACTGGAATCTGATACAGCTTCTCATCTCCAGGGCTGTTCACAGCTTAACTATGCCTTTACTGCTCCTCAGGTCATGATAAGCAGTTCAGGTTAATTGGGAAATTTCAGGAAAACCAGAAAACGTTACAAAATAGTCTCACTTTCTTTGACAAGGATAGCAAATTCCCAGCATACCTACTAAGTTCAGTACTAGCACAAAGTCAATGGTTATTTACGGCGGATTATTGGGATGGGGGAGACCTCCAGGCCTTAGGCTGCCAGCCCCATGACCTGAGAGGTGAATGCCCTTCCCCTCACCCCTGCAAGTGGTCCGGGACCCCGCAAGGAGCACACACAGACCACCTGGGAGGGACGGAGGAAAGAGGAAGTTTATTGTGGGGTCGGGGTTTATAAGGCTTTTAGGAGGGTCAGAGGGGACCAATCACAAGTTCAGGGTCACACAGAAATAACCATCAGGTAAAGGGTCAAACAGCCAGTAGGAAGGGGTTAACAAAGGAACAATGAGAAACACCTCAGGACACCTTCCCAGGACACCTTGTGTGAGACAATAGCTTCACAGGGGGTGTCGGGGAGAGGGAGACAGTGACACTGCAGAAAATACAAAAAGCCCATTTTGAAACATGTTTAAACCACAGTAAAAACTTCTGTCTCCATAACGTTTGAGCTATTTTCCTCACCAGTCCATCTCTGACAGGACTTTTTCCATCCTGCATATGGCAAATCCATTGCCACAGTTATTCGCTGCAGAATTTCATTTTCCTTCGAGTAAACATAATTAAACTCATGTTTCCTACTGCACAACACAAAAACAAGACAGAGACACTGTGAAAAATGGTACATGGATAATCAACAGAAATTATTATCCAATCCTTGTAAACATTCTACAGTTTGAAGTTGCACTTTGTTAAAAGATAATGAATAATGAGTTTTGTGCAGATTTATGTAAAGTCTCTGAAGGACTTTATAAGGCAGCAGTATGATGAAAAATCAGTAGAGAAGCTTGGGATGCAGTGGTACTCGAGAACTTTTATGTTTTTCCTCCTAAAATATAGTACCTCTAGATCTCATCAGAAGTGCAGGGCTGATTCAGTGAGAAATTTCACAGAATTTAAATACTCTGCCAGATGGCACATGGACAGAACTCTCTGAGAAGTTCATATAAAAAGATATTTAGCTTCTGGCATTTTTATTAACACATGTAAGCATCCTGCAACTGCTGGCAAGCAAGCACAAGCAGAGCTAATTTTCTTTGTGATTCCTCCCCCCTTATTCTAAACAGGCTGCATAAAAAGTTAAAATAATGGATTCTGTTTAATTAAACCTCCTTCTAGGATTTCATTACAAGAACAAATGCTCTCTTCCCTAGAGAACGTGCCTGATTCCTTCTCATTCCTTTTCTTTCTTCAGGAAAAATCATTTGTGTCTGCAGCACTAATTAAAACCAAATGAGAGACACAGGTATCTACAGAGCACTCTAAATTTAAATGAACACGAAGTTTTACTGTAAAGAAAGATTTATACCCAGCTGTGCTATACCATAGCTATATGAAGAAAATTATCAGGCTTGGCAAAGTCATCTGCATAAACTACTGAAATTATTTGCTCCTTTCTCCCCACGTTGGAGTAATAAATTCTGCCATCCACAAAGTCTGCACACAAAACACAAAGGTCAACACTGCCAGGGCACAGGGAGGGGTAAACACGCTGTTCCCTCTTGCTGCACCTATAATTCACTTACCTGCAGCCTTCCACACACACCTGGCACTTATTTTGAGGAATGCAATGCATTTGATCCAACAAAAATGAAAATCCAGCACAACAATACTTAAACTGAGAGTTGGGCAGACATTGCAAATGATATAAATGAACAGATATGTTCTTCACAGAAGTAAAAGTTCAAGGGAAAGTAGAGTGCCAAAAATTAATCTTAGACTTCTAATGAGACAGATTTACCATTCTGATTCTGAGGATACTCTCTTCCCAGTTTCAGACTATTTAATGGTGCAGAGCAGATGACAACAGCAATTCTAATGCACAAAAACCAGCCTTCAAAGCCACAGACAACATAATATGCAAATCTGACACCTGTTGTGGTGAGGGAACTGGAGCTGGGACCACAACCACATGCTTCTTACCCCAGCCTGCTGGTTGTACCTGCTGAGGAAAAGCTGGGTTCCTGCTGTGTGGATCAGGGAAGGAATTATGCAAACTTGGCAAGTTTGGTCCATTTTGCTGTTGGTCTCCCTCCTGGCTAATCTGTTGAGCCACTTGAGGAACAGGAGGCATTCCACCTGCAGAGAGACTTATAAAAACTGGAATTTCAGTAAATAAAATAGTGAAATAACAAAACAGTGCCGAAGAAAGTGGCAATACAGGCTGTTACATGGCTGGTCAAATCAACTTCCCACCACACCCCAATACAACTGCCTGCCTGAAAGCTCTGAAGGTGTGAATCAATCAGAATGCCAGCCCAGGATGTACTTACTTGCTCTTCAACCTGGCAACACCGAGATCTTTGTTAACAACATCCTACAGAAGGCTGGCAACTACACAACCAATCATTATCACGGTATCAAATGACCAAAAGGGAAAAATTTCATGCAAAAACATTAATTAAGGAAAGCAACAAATTAGGCTCAGAGGGTGCAAATTTAAACCCAGTGCATGGAAAATGAGATGTGCAGCACTCACTAAGATTTCCAAGATTTTCTCCAGAGGGTTTTTAAAAAGTGTAATAATTGGTATTAGATATAATGGTACAATTACAGAAAAGCTCATTAAAGCAATTATCTTTAATTACAAAGCTTAAAACTTACATTTAATCGTAAATCGTTAATATATGTACTAAATGTACCAGCATTATTTTAAAGACTGTGACTTTTTTTTTAAACTTTTGTCAGAACTAATTAGATGTCTCTGTGAAGAGCTATTTTTGAAACAAAATAAAGTTAACCTAACAAAGTATCTCATTATCAGTAAAGCAGTGCATTGGACTAACACTCCCAAAGCTCCATCCACACTTATGTCTGATTTAACTTCTACGTTATTTTGCTATGAAATGGTTTTTATGATCACAGAATTGCTTCCTGCCCAACTATAAAGGGAGTTGATCTCAATGGTCACTGACCTTTTAAGTCACATTAATCACTTGAATTCTATTGTCCCAGCAGATTTATCCAACTGCTTTACTTCTGGCAGTCAGACACGGAGGGTTCCTGCAGCACATCCTGGGTGTGTCTGTACTCTGAAGACAACTCAGGAGGGTCAACAGGTGCTTTAGTTTCTGTCCAGCCCTCGGACTCGTGATGACCAACCCCGCAGTCAGCGCAGGGACAGAGAGAGGCCGGTGCTGTCACACAGGGGAGACGACAGAACCTGCAACAACAGGCTGGAGTCACTCGTGCCTTTTACAGACCTTCGGTTTCACAGAGCAGCGAGGCGGGATGGTTCACCCTGTAAGGACATTATGGACCGTACAGCACTCACGGGAACCCAGCGGGGTGTAAATGCTGCCTCGGGAACGCGGTACCGCCCGCGCCGGCTGAGCTCCAGTGCAGAGCCGAGGGATCTGACCGGACAAGGGACCTGACCGTGCAAGGGCCGCGCATCACCAGCCCTGCCCTGCCCGCCTGCGCCTTTCCCGGCAGGAATATCCCGAAGGACCCGCACGGCGGAGCTGTGGGTGCCCCGGGGAGGACGGAGGGAGTTTGTTCATCGCCCTCCATCTCCCAGAAGAGAGGGAAGGGGCTCTGAGGCGGAGCTGGGCAGCACCGGGGAGCCCACCTCGGGACTGCCCTCCTCCCCTGCGGCCCCCCGGCCCCTCCGCGCACCACCAGCCGTGTCCCGCACCGCCCGGCACCCGCAGACCCCGCCGGGTGTCCCACGGCCCCGCCCCGCACACCCCGACCGACCCCGCACACCCTGACTGACCCCGCATACCCTGTACCACCCCCGCACACCCTGACCACCCCCGCACACCCTGTACCGCCCCCGCACACCCTGTACCACCCCTGCCACACCCTGACTGACCCCCCATACCCTGTACCACCCCCGCACACCCTGTACCACCGCCGCACACCCTGTTCCACCCCTGCACACCCTGACTGACCCCGCATACCCTGTACCACCCCCGCACCCCCTGTGCCATCCCCGCTCCATCCCCGCACCCCCGCTCTCATCGGGTTCCCCCGCCCCGCCCCTCCGGCGGCCCCGCCCCGCCGGGCGCTCGGCGATACCATTCCCCTCTCACGGGGGGGGAGAGGCGGGGGGGGCGTCCTTCTATTTTTATTTTTATTTTTGTTATTTGTTTTCTGCAAAGGCTAGCAACAGAAGTCCCCATTTATCTCAACTGCGATCCATGTCACAGTTTTGGGACCTTCATTGTATGCAAATAAAGGTAATTTTTTTTTTTCCGATTGAAAGGCATAGAAAGATGGAGCTGTGGATAGAAGATAATGCAGAGCAGATCAACAGTATGGACTAGCGAGGGATATAAAGGGAAATCCGGGCAGAGCTCCTCTCCAGAGCACTTTTACACACTTGCTCTCGTCAAGCAAGGCTTTCATGATAACATAGAAAGCTCTGAGTAAAAACCCAGATAAAATAAACAAGAAAATCCTTTTTTAAAGGAGAGTTGTGCTCTGGGGAATAAAAAAAAAAAAAAGGCAAAAAAACCCAAACCAAAACAAGAAACAAAACAAACAAAAGAAATTGCAAACCAAAATAATTATTCCAGTAGGAGCCATAAAATTAAAGGCTTTGGCCAGAAACCACTAAATGAAGGAACAAAGGGTTGACTCCTCATTTTCAGTAAGTGACACAGACTCAGCCAGGGAAGTGCATCAAGCACTTGTAACAAAATTCGAATGCTTGAAGAGTCTTGTTCCAACCCTTCAGTGGTATTCCACAGGCTGGGAGGGCAGGAGAGCTGCTGCTGCTGCTGTTGTTTCTTCCACCACCTCCAAGGAGAGTTGGAAACAAGAATGAGAAGTTAAACCGCTGCTGGGGAAAGGAGCACGAACCCCAGAGTATGCAGATCCCCAAAACACAGGAAACTAAACATGGATTCCCAAAGCATGGCAGTGCTCAGACTTGTGCTTCCCATATCGTTGCAGATGTTCCTCTGTTCTGGGCAGCTTGATGGGGACGAAGAGTTCACACACTCCAAGTGATCACAGGCTTGATTAAAGCCCAGAGGAATTCAGCACCATTTCTTTCACACCTGCCAAGTTGATTCAACTCTGAATCTAAGAGACAGCTCTAAAGGATTTCTGGGTTTAGGGGACACTAAACCAGCAGCACCACCTTTAGTGATCACCACAGAAAATGCTAATTCACGGCTGCACCCTTTGAACTGCAGTGCTAACAATGGACACCTTCCCCTCACATCTCAACACAGGTGTGTGAATACAGGCAATAAATACAGGCAGTAGAGGCCCAACTGCACGGGGAACTGTGGATCTGTATCCCTGGATCTGCCCAAGGACAAGGGCAACACTGGCAGGATAACATCTCCCACAGAAAAGGTCCCATCTTGGAATGTATGGATCAGTCCACGTTCCAAAATGAACCCTCTCCCTGAATAAGGAATAATTTCTTTTAGGCTCATGCAGCTCTAGAAAACACAGAATATATGTTTCAATAGCAAAGGGTTCACAGCAGTCAACATGATCATGAGTTCCTAACCCATGCATGTTATTTCACAGGAAAATCATGGATGCCATGGAAAATAAAAGCTTAATGGTGTTTAGAGATTCAATAAAGGTGAATGATTAAAAAAAACAAAACAATCAAAAGCTCATGGAATCATAACTTCATAATAAAAAAAGAGTATATTAAAATGATCTGCCCCATCTTTATGTAGAAGTTATACATATTTAAAATACTATTTTCCAAGTAAACATAATAAAACCATTATTCAAATAGCAATTATGATATCCTGCATTTCAAGATTCTTTTAGAAAGCTTCTTTCTCCTTGAACTGTTTTCAAGTATATCAGTCAGGTGAATTGGTCAGTGGTATAAAAAGCTTCTGTTTTTTCTGCTGCACTGTCTTCCTCACCCAGATTCTCCTGGGCATCCAGTTCTCGTTCTGCAAGCACACAAACTCCTGCTTTACTGGATTCCTGGATTTTGAAAGGCCACTTTTTTTGTAGACAAAGGGAACTTTAAGCAGCAAGGGTTCCACATCCAGCCACGCTGGCTCAGTCAGAATCATCACCACAACCATCACTGCCTTCGAGATCACTGCTGTTCTGTAAAGCAAAATGGAAAATGGTCTGTCAGTACTGCATTTACATCTACAGACTGACCTAAATCAAAGAGATTGACTTTCAACTTCTCCAAAAGTATAAGAAAATAGTCTTAGACCCATCTACTGTAATAAACATCTGTGGTGGTAAATTATGCTTCTTGTAGCAAAAAGAGATGTACATTGGAACACACTCACCAGCAGAAGAAATTTCTTCTCACATTTACAACTCCATGATTACAACCTGAGCGTGTGGGAAACTCAAAGGTGGGATAATAGTGTGAAATGCTGACATTTAAAATAAATGCAGATGAGATAAGTGGTTTTTTATGCAAGTCCCTCAAAACCAAAATTTGTTACAAAAGGTCTAAAGCCAGATCTGAGAATTTTATTTGCTACAGAGTTTATGTCTGACCTGTATTACAGATATGCAAGGGCTCACTAACACTACTAAAAAAGTCAAGGCAGTTGTACAAAGTAGTATTAGGAAAATACTACAAATGTTGGCAACTCACAAGGAAACTGAAGTCAGAGTTCTTAACTGGGAGCCACTCCTGCAGGACCAGGTGCAATGGTGCAATAAATGTGGGGGGTTTATGTATTTTGAAGCAAGTATTTTAACTGATATGACTGACAACAAAGGATTTTATAAAGAAAAGCTAACATGACTGTATGCCTGTAGTTACTCCTTTTTTCCTTCACCACCAATTGCTGAAAACAAACCTCAAATCCCATGAATTTAACACTGACAGTTTAATATCCTACTACAAACCAAATTCTGAGACACTGAGACAGTTGACTTCGTAACAGCAAGCACAGCTCATTGAAGTGCAAACAGCCTGCAAAATCTCAGAGGATCTGTCATATCATCCCTTATTTATCCCTCTCCAGACAGCTTGTGCTGACTGTGATGCCAAAACCCTTCTTGGTTGAGTTTATCTGCAGTGAGCAGACCTGCCTCCCCCAGGAATACTTCAGAGACTGGGAATCTGTCAGCACCAAGTCCTGCCAACACCAAAACCAACACCCTGAGCCAGGTAAGGACCCTCTGCACCACTTGGTCTCTTTGGGTCCTATTTAACCAAAAATTCCTTTTTGTTAAAAATGTATTCTATGCCTTTGTTTTATTGCACCTTACAGTTGTCAGCAGCTCCTGTTGTCAGAAATCCAAATCCACAATATTCCATTTACTCAGTAGTTGTTCTGATGGCCCATTTTGAGCTCATGGGAGATTTACTTGAAAAAGCTGGTCCTACATTTCCCTGATTCCAAAACATAGTAAACAGGGAATTACACAAAATGAGAATTAACCCAAAAATCAGAGAATGCCAAAAGGCAGCAGGTATGAAACCTGGTCTCCAAAACAGTTTCACAACAGCAAAGGCTGGCAATGCCCATCATCTCTGTTGTCAGTTTATGATTCTGCAAACTGGCCTGTGCTTGAAGCATTCCTTCCTCCCTCCTCCACTGCCACGTGTAAAGCCCTGTGAAAACAACACTTTGTGCAGTGCATTCAATTGTCATCCAGTGCACAAAGATAATACACATTTCACGTGCAAGATCACTGTCACCTTCCAGGGCATATTCATGGAAAACAAAAATGTTACCAGGGGAAAAGACATTTCAACTTGACAGCTTCCATTTGATAAAATAATGGCTTCAATCATTACCTTTGAATTTTTGTTGTTGGCTTGCATCTCAACAGCAGACGAGTTGAAGTCGTGAATGGGGAGGGTGCTGAGCCAGTTTGCCATGGATTTCTCCTCCCTTTCCGTGTTGATGATGGTAGGGTAGATGTACTGCTCTTTGAAAACAGCAATCTTCTCCTCCTCCTCTGTCCACTCCAGCGGCTCGTGCAGCCCGTCGTTCCCAAAGCGCCTGTTGTACTTCTCAAAGTGCACTCTTTCCAAAACCAGCCCGAGTCCCGGGGCTTTGGGGACATCCACCTTCTCCTCTCCCCAGCTGCGCTCCAGGATGGACTCAGCAGCGTAACCCTTCACGATGGCTATCACCAGCCCGATCATCTTCCTGATCTGGTGCATCATGAAGCTCTGACCTTTCACTTTGATCACTGCAAACTCCATGTTCTCCCTGACAAAGGGCTCTCCACAGTACATCTCCATGATGTACCTCCTGGCACTGGGGTCCCTGGGGCCCTTCTGGGACGTGAAGTTGTGGAAGTTGTGTGTCCCTTTATAGCACGAGAGCAGTTTGTTGACCCTGTCGAGGGTCTCTTTGTCCAGCCTATAAACCTCTTCTTGCACATCATGGTCCTTGTGGGCAAAGGCAAATGTTGGCAGCATGTAAGAGTAGGTTCTGGCATCACATTTGTTCTTGGAGTTGAATCCCCCAGTGACTCTCTTCAGGCCTGGTTTTAAAAGTGGCATTAGGATTTTGAATCAGTGGGTTACAAACTGACTGTGATCTCACTCCTACCAACATGAATAATTTTTAAATGAAGTACAAAAAAAAAGACAGATTTATTTTTGAAGACCCTAATTTCAAGCTAAATGAAACATGTTAAAACTAAACCACTCGTAAGTAAAATTATAATGGAAATGGAGAGACCT